TCGTCCAAAACTTGATGATCCTTAACGAAACTGGTCCCTCTGTACCTGGAGTAAAGATCCTGGACTTTTGAAGTCCCTCACTTTATATTCTCGTACTCAAATCCAATCCTCTTCGTCTCTTCAACTCAAACACTATTTCCTTTTCTATTAAAAGGGGCATGATGGTGCAACCACGGACCCTCCTCTTCGAGACCGCCCATACTCTCCCTCCGCCTCCAGCCACCCGACTTGTCTCAAGCCTTGTTATCTAATCCTTTTCTCCGTTCCTCTTTTTTTTATAAATTTTCTTTTATCTTTAAAATTGCTTACTGTCTATTCTAATCATCGCATAACTCTCGATAATTTCAGATAGCTCCAAACACGTGGGGAAGGAAAGTTTCGAAAATACTCTAGTGGATTATAAAATGAATAGACCCTTATCACTACTCAACCATGTAGCCTCCGCGCCATCTGGAATCGGTAAGTCGTTTTTTTTGGGATGTGTTGAAAAAAAAATTGAAAAACAAGCGCAAACTTGTATTTAATTCTTCCGTTGATTCACATCAAAAATTTAAAATCCTTGGGTTTTAATCATTCTCAATATACCCTAAACACTCTAATAGAACGCCACCCGGAGCGTCCACTTTGATCCTATATATCTCACTTCTTTTGAGAGATATCAAAAAGTTGTCAACTAATAAAATTTATATCATGATAGCAGCAAGATTTTACTAGTTAATCACTTTTTGATAACTTTCACAGAAAATGAGATAAATACGCTCAAATTTGACGATTCAGGTGGCGTTTTATTGCAGTGTTTACGGTATCTTGTAATCTGAATCCTTTTTTATGGTTCTAGGAATAGTAACAGTTGCCAGTTAAAAGTTTTTGAAAGTAGATAAAAACTTTTTTTGAAATTTCAGAAAAATTAAACTTCATAGAAAATTAAGTTTTAAATAATTCAAAACTCTGAAAATCTATAACTTTTGTCGTCTACTGATTTGTTATTGAAGATTTTCCTATTAAATTTTTCATTTGTCTGGATTCACACCCAAAGTTGTTTTCTTCTGAAAGCCTAATTCTGAAAGTCTAAGTTTTCTGAAATTCTATTACTTTGGTCAAATTTAGGTTTACAAGTAATCTCTTCTTTGCCCATGGTCATATGTACCTCCATTGGCCCTCTATCGACCTCATTCTCTCTGCCACTAAAAGAATTCAAATCATTAGGGTCTCTGATTGCGCATAGCTTGACGCAACATATCATTGCGTATTCGTCTGTCCAAGAGTCCCCCTATTGTTTTTCACTATCCTCGAGAGCACTGACCCTCTTTATATGGTAGAAAAGAATGAGGCACTGAACATTTGGTACCATATACTGTATGAAAAAGAAGTTAGGGTGTAGAAGACAAATTTATATTTTCAAACGGTCTCTATCTATTAATCGGGAGGGTTAGCCGTCGATGTAGCCCCCTTCAATGGAGTAGTAGTTCACGGCCTTGGATTCAAGTGTCAGATAAGCGGAAGACTTCTTCTGGGCCTCTATCCATCAGTAAACCGTCCCGACTGTTGGTTGTAAAATTAAACCGAAAAAAGAGGAATTTTCGGTCAGTAGTAGTAAAATGAATAAGAAGGGTCAGGGACTCTTAATTGCAGAGGGATAGGAGCGTGTGAAAAGATTCTGGAAAAAATGTTTAATTTTCGTAGTTGCCAACTTTTTTGTAAAGAAACAATTTGATAGATCGTTTTCTTAAATAAATTCTAGTGAAGCATTGAATTAGCAATTAATTAATAAGGTTTGAATTCAGATAACGTAAAACCTGTAATAGAAGGGGTCCCGGACTGTTAAGTTTGAGCTCAATTATCTCGATTCCTATGTTAGATATCAAAAAAGTTTCAACTGACAAAATATTTCTGATTTTATGATATATCATCAGTTGAGACATTTTTGGTATCTGTAAGCGAGATAATTCAGCTCAAAGTTAATAATTAAGGGACCCTTCTATTACAGGTTTCAAGGTATTCAAGACTCGTTTGCTTCAAATTTTTTCACGAATTCTGAATGACCAACTTCTAACTTCTACTCACATTTTTCCCTACACGTTCAATCACTTTCCCGAACTATAGAGCCTACTTGAACAACCTCGAATTTTCGGAAACATTATAGACTCTCAGAATATTTATAGCTGTGGGAAAAGCAATAATTATTTGAAACTTTACAGTACTGGTCTTTGAATTTTTTTTCTTTTCTTGCTAAAAGTAAAGTAATCTGAACTTCAATCTGACCTCTTTCTGTCGTGTCTCTTTTTTGAAGTTGAGATTGGGGGGATGCATATCTAAAGTTTATTCAAGTAAGGTGAGAAAAGTAGTTGTAATTGAGACGATGCGGAATGAAGATAGGCATCGCTTTGATAAATTGGCATGTCGAGCAGGCTGGTACCAAGGTAGTTCTTCTCAGTTCTCCGCCTTCCGTGTTCCGAAAGTTAGCCAGTGTACAAGAATTCAAAATTTATGGAATATGTTTACTTTTTATCTTTTTTCTCTTTTCTTCTGGTCAAAGGATACCTTAGCTTCATATAACATAAACATATCTGTCTGTCGTCTCCCTTCCCAACACCTTCCAATATAAACAATTCAAATCTTGGGGCATGGATATAGGAGGAGAATCTAATAGTTTTCTGGTGGACTACTCCGCATGGGTGTCCAATTACAGAGGTCACATTGATACTGTAAAGCAGACCCATCTCGCTTTATCGTCTAAAAGCATCCAACACCTGTCGTCGGGTACTGACGAGACTTTTTTCTCGCGTTTTATGAATTCAATCTGCATTTCAATTCTTTTTTTCTCTTAAAAAAGTGTCCTTTAGAATCGCAGGTGTCCTTCGATTCGTAGAGTTTTTTTGTGTGGTCTCGTCCGACGAGTCTCGGCGACAGAGAGACCAATTCAAATTTCTTCTCTTTAATGTATAGGTATTACTGGTTGGTCCGAATAACACCTGGCGCAATTTCTAACACGACAGCCGGCTCTTTCTATTCTAGTCCTTCTGTACCAGAGGACGATTGCGTAGGATTGCGTTTAAACAACCGGGTGGGAAGCTTGAGTCAATGGATGAGGGTATTGAGGTTTTCATACCAATAGGTCCACTAGGACCATGTCCTAAAGTAGCGAAGTTCCCCAAAATTTAGGTACAGTTGAAACGATGTTTGTGTCCTTCCCAGAATGCCCATTTCCGTTATAATCGAGTTCCCACCATAACCAAAAGGTTCCCCCAAATATCAAACTCATCAAATTTTTGAATTCTATCGTTTACTATGGGAACTTTTTACACATTAAAAGAAAGGTAGATGACCGAGGGTTACGACCGGTCAAGTTGCGCAACATCGACCCGACGTTTACAAAGTTTTTGCTTCTGATGCTTCTTAGGCTTATATCTCTTTCTATCTGTCAAATAAATTCTCAAAGTGTGGGTTGGGATATATCTCTCATTTTGTGTTTTGTTTGCATTTTCCAGGTGCGTAGAAATACGGCAGAATTATTGTTCGGTACCACTTGAAACACGACAAACAATAATATTGAAAGAGTCGGACTAAATTATATGAACCTGGTTGTAAACGGTCCGAATGGAAAGAACAGTAAATTTTATTGATGTGAAGATGTTCGTGAACCTTCATCTTCTTTAGTTAATAAAATATCGTAAATGGTAAGCGGAAGAGAATTAGGTCTCATTTAAGACTATCCATAAACTATAGGTGAAGATAATATCTGAGCTTTTGTTGTGAGGTATTTTTTTATATTTAAAAACCTTTCTTGGGAAATTCAGAATTTTAAGAATTTTTGTTTTTTAATCATTTTTTCAAAATCCCAACTTTGCAAAGTTTAGAGATTTTCGCTAAGCGATTTTACAGATTTTCAAGAACAATTTTCGATAATTCAGAGATTTTAATTTTTTTTGAAAAAAATATCTGAAAAAACTTTTTTCAAAACTCCGACTACTGTAGTCGTTCCAAGACGCGCATAAGTTTCAGATTCAAATTCCCACCATAAATCTTTTTAAAGGCGCATATCGTGTGTGTCTCTCCGCGAATTTTATTTTTCTCTTGCTAATTTTGTTCCTAAATTTCTGTAATTTTTTCCCTTTAAATCGATCGATATTTACTCGAGCACACAGTCTGATGAGTAAATCAAATCTGACTGGACAGTCGTTCTGCTGATCCTTTGAGACCATTGTCAAGATTTCTTGAGAACATGGGCAATCGCCATCAAAGAACACAGAACATAAGAAGATTTCCATCTTGCCAAGAGCAAATTCTTCTGCGATTCTGCGAGATAGTGGTCATTCTGTTCGTCACATGGCGTGGGAGCTAATGGCTGAGCAAATATTGTATCAGGGCTGAGAACTAGCTAGAAAATCTGAAAATATTTTGGGAAAAAAGTGGAAACGACTTCCACTAAACACTCTATTTATTTAGTTAAGCATCTTTTGTCATGCTATTCTCGTTGAAATTCTAAATCTCGGCAGCTGTAAGTACACTTCTGAAACCTAAACAAGCCTATTCTTCTCGATTCGCGCTATCGAATCGTTCCGATTCTTTCTTGACTTGACGTTATCGAATCGCTCCGATTCTCTTAATCTTTGTTCTTTGAATCCATTGCTCTCATCTGCCTACGATTATCTAGACCTTCTTTCCCAGGAGCCAGACCTCCTTTCCCAGGAGCCAAGCCATGGGCGGAGATATTGGCACCACGCCCTCTGCAGTGAGACCCTACGCTCTAGTCGTAGCATTCATTCATCCCATTCATTCGTCCCATTCATTCGCGCATCATTTTCTTCTGGCAAAAAACGATGATTCGTGTACATCGTCTCTAAATGTTCTGCCATTTTCGAATATGTTCCTTTTAAAATATACTGTATATTTCGAAGGAAAATTCGTCGCGACATAAATATTACTTTTAGCAATAATCTTCCCTTTTTATGCTTTACGATTCCACCTCGATCCTCTATAAAACCCGATTTTCAGACGCAATGATGTGCGACGATGACTCGACTTCGCGCGATTCGGGATTCTCCGAGCCGATGGACGAGAACACGCCAGTGTGTTTCAAGTCGCTGTCGGAAGGACTGGTAAGAAGCTCATAAGAATATCGAAATTCTAAGGCCATTCAGTTTTTGCAGGAGCACATCCATGTCGGAGAAGTAGCTGAAGAATCCACGATTCGGAGCCCATCGAGACAGCAGAAAAAGTGCCAAAAAGTTCTAAAATCTTCGTCGAGGTGAGAATTTTTTTTGATCTACCATTTCTTCGACTGCCCGCGTTTTTCGACGATTGATTTTCTCGTTTGCACCTCTTTCTCACCTTTCCCTAGCACCCCCTTTTGCACCATTTTCCTTGCCTTGCTCCTTCAAAAATGCTAAATTTTATGCGATTCCAGCCGCCGCCTGTTCCCCCTCACGTCTTCCGAAGCTCTCGCCATCCGCAACACGAATCTTCCTGAGCAGCCAAGTCGAAAGCGGTCAATAATTATGAGCGACGATGAGAAGCGGCAAAACCACAAGAAAAGCGTATCAGCATTTGCTTATGTGCAAAAATGCCAAGAGATTAAATCCAAAGAATCCAGCTACGCGGAATCCGAAGAAGGCACCGACGAAGCCGATGTAAATAGAATGGAGGGTGATTACGTGGAAAATGCTAAAACCAGCTCAATGCTGGACGACATTCTTGGATGTATTCGTCATCAGCAGCTACAACCAGTGTATTCCTCACTACCATCGTTGCCTTCTGCGTCTGCGTCTGCGGATGCTTATGTGCAAAAATGCCAAGAGATTAAATCCAAAGAATCCAGCTACGCAGAGTCTTCCCCATCGGCGTCATCCGAAGCCTCCTCTTCCGAAGCCTGCTCATCTGCGTCAGGATCAGCTTCTCGTTCGTTCGCGCTGCCAAAGGTAAAGGCTAAGCGCAAACTGAAAACTAGTCAAACGACGCCAAATGTGGAAAATGTGGAAGAGGAAGAAGAAGTCGATAACGCCCATCCGACAGTCAAATATCACCTCGAGACGCTCAACGAAAAATGTTTCACTTCGTACCGCCTGATTGGTCGCAAAACTCTGATAGGACTGATAAACAATATGACTGATGAAGAATTCAACAAAAAATATATTCTTATCGATTGTAGATATCCTTTCGAGTACGAAGCAGGGCATATTAAGGTGAGAAGAATCCTACATTTTGTAGCTAAATTCTTATTTTTCAGCACGCTATCAACTGCTACGATACAGAAGAAGTGGGAAAGCATTTCTATCAAGGAGAGGGAAAAAAGGAAGCTTTCCACGAAAGGGTGCCAATTTTCTACTGTGAATTTTCGCAAAAAAGGGGTCCGAAGATGGCGAGCGCTCTTCGCGCACTCGATCGAGCTCAGAACGACTATCCGAAGTGTCATTTCGCGGAGTTGTACGTGCTCTATCAAGGATATCGAAAGTTTCATCAGTTTGTTGAAGCGGAGGGCATTTCGGTGAGTAACGAGCATTAAAAATCTGATGCCTGTAAGCCTTGTTGTAAATTTTCCAAATTAATTTTTTCGCGTTTTTTTTCGATGGAATGCAAGCAGCGTTGAGTAGCGATTCAGAAGCTCAATCATAAGCATTCGCGTCTAGACTAATGCTGAATTGCCGTATTATTGTTTTCCGAAAAAATTGGAGTTGAGACGCAGACAAGACAGTTAATCAGACAGTTATTTAATTGATCAATTTAATCAGACAGTTAACCAGACAGTTAATCGAAATATTTCTCTGCGTCTCCACCGAATATGCGCTATTTAGGCTTGTCGCTTCGAGTGCCTACCGTATTCAGATTGCAAAGACTGCAAAATCTCGCTCCAATTTTTTCGCACAACAATAGTAGTAATATTCTTGTCCGGCGCCGATGAACCTTCTGGCCGGAAATTTCTTTAAAGGCGCATAGCCGTCCCTGAAGAGAAAACGAGAGAAAACGGCTACGCTTTTTCACAAATAAACTCGTACGCTTTTAATGTACTTCGGAATTATTTTATTTAGTTTCTCTACTTTATAAGGAAATTCCGCTGACTATTCATGAGAATCTGAAGAATTTCGACGAAAACAAGCAAAAATCTTAGAGGAATAGGCAAAAAGTCAGGAAAATTGGCAAAAAGTCTTAGGAAAATAGGAAAAAATATAATAATCTCGGAGTACTGTATCAAAGGCGCATAAAATTTTATTGTGAAAACTGGAGCTGTTTTCTCTTCAGCACCGGCTATGCGCCTTTAAATAAATATTCGGCCACAACATCGTGGACAAGAATAATATTACAGTATGTTTTGCGTTCGAGCGCATTTACACGACGTTCCGAGAAAAAATACAAAAACAGGCTTCAGAAACTGTGCGCTATAATTGAAATCTGATGTTTAATTTTTCTCGATTTTCAGGATCTGTGTCACCCGAACAACTACGTTGAAATGAACGATAATCGGTTTAGTACGGAGCTCAAAAAGTACACGCAACACAAGAAGAAGAAGAACCTCCCGACACGTCGAGTGAGTTCGCGAAAACTCTCTGAAGATCAAAAAGACGGCGAGAAGGCGACGACGTCGAAAGAACGAGATGGCTCCGTTGCCGGAACTTCTGATGACGCTGAAGCGCGATCGCTCAACGCCAATAATCGAACCCCTCAAGTGCCACGTACATCCTATTCACGAAGGAATTTGTTCACGATTGCACAAGAATCACCGACGAACTTCGACCGACAGAAATTGCCAAGTCGTAATGATGGGCTGAAGACGCCATCGCCTGCCAAACCATCTAGTTTCCCCCTATTATAGCAAAAATTGTGCCATTCTAGCTGCTTCCTTGAAAATCTCTTCTATCTCAAAATCCCAAAATTCTTTCAACTGTGTCTATCTACTATCTACTCTTCTGTCTCTCAAATCTTGTCTGATGCTACCTTGCTATCCCATATTACTGTTTCTTTGCGGTTTTACCCTATCTGATCCCTGTGTGTTTCCATTGTCCCCTGGGTTTAGGATTTCGGGCTAGAACACACACTTTGACTTTTCACTAGGCGTTAACTTTACTCTCCCCCATTCGCTGTTGACCAGTGCTAAAACCAAAAAAGAACACGGTTAGACTGTAAGAAGATTAGATTTTTTTGTTTCCTGAACCTTTAAATTTCCTATTTCACTTTTAAAGTATTTGACAATTTGATTGACTGTAACTCTTCTCATGTGCAATATTCCCAAAACTTCCCTGTACCATTTTGAAACCCAATTTCCAAAGATTTTGCTACTTCCGAAATTTACAGTCAATTACAATTGATCTAAGAATCATCGCTCTTTCTGTAATTTGTTATATACTTAATTTTCGGATTTATACTCACCTTAATATCGGCCTATTTGTGACCCATTATTTTTAAGAAGAAAAAACTTATGATTGCAATCAAATAAAAAACAACAAGTCTCCAATATTTTTTTTTCCTTCTTTTTACCCTTCAGACCAATGACCATCGTTGTTATTTTTCGTCAATTTCGCCGGACACGACTGATAAGGAGGCAGTTCCAGTTTTTCGGTACCAGTATATAAGGAACACAGGGATGAAGAATTTAAGATTCGGAAAATAATGAAATTGATCCTAATTCTTTTTGTTGCTATTCTGGCACTGGTCGCCGCGAAGCCCCATCCTGGCTATGGAAGACCGTCGTATGGAGGAGGAGGTGAGCTCAATTGGAAGCCACGTGGCAAGCAAGTACAACTCTATGGTTGAATTTAGAAAAATTGGCACCTGAAAATCTCTCGGGCAGCGCCTGTGTCGATTTACGAGGCCCCGCCCCAAAATCCGATACTGTACCGAGCGAAATTAACTTTTGTGAATTTAGTGAGATCTTATGAACCGAAATTGGAGGATTCGGTAGAAATGTGATCGCTATTGTTCTTCTCCGAAGCCGATGAACCTTCTGGCCGAAAATTTTTTTACAGGCGCATAGCCGGTCCTGAAGCGAAAGAGCTACTATTTTTGCAAATAAATTCGTGCGCCTTTAATACAGTAGTTCGGAATTATTTTATTTTCGACCCATTTTAGGCTGGTTTTCTACTTTATAAGAAAAAACAGCTGATTATTAATGAGAACTTGAAAAGTTTTAACGAAAACAAGCAAAAATCTTAGAAAAATAGGTAAAAATAACGTAATTCCGAAGTACTGTATCAAAGTCGAATAAATTTAATTGTAAAAACCGTTGACATTTTCTCTTCCGGCTAAATACACGCATTTAAATACATTTTCGGCCACAAGGTTCATCGGAGCCGGACAAGAGCAATAGCGTCCGAGCACATTTACAAGACGTTCTGAAAAAATCACTGTGTATTATATATATATATATATATATACACGATAATGTGTTCAGGAGACTTCGGTGACGGTGGTAGCGGTGGACAATGGGGTCAGCAGTCGTCTTCATTCCAACGAAGCCAAAGTTCTGGTGGATTCCAGAATAGTGGCGGCGGATTCCAAGGAGGAATGGGACCCGGTGGAGGCGGAGTATGGGGCAGAAAATAATTGTTTGTGTTCAAAATCAATATGAAATAAACTTTTATATCAACGGCCATTATATCACAAATTAGTCGTTCAAAATAGCCGCAACTGTCTGAGACTGTTGGATATAGTTGCTTCCCAATTGAATACTTTGAGTGGACTTTACCAATACTCCAATGGCATGTTGACTTTTGGTGATCGATGGAAGAGAGCTAACCAGCTTTTGCAACTCACGGTTTTTCTGTTGAACGGTTTGGAAAAGTTGCGGAGAATTATCAATTGGATCGCTTCCTTCTATAGAAGCCCCGAAAGCGGTTAGAGCAGATGAGAGCTTTCCTTCGATTTCGCCGATTTTAAAGGCAATTTCCTGACACTCTGTAGTTTTCGGATTCCTGGTTTCTTGTTGATCACGGATTCTGCTTACTGCAGTTCGCAGGGTCTCAATACTGTGGTATAAGTTTCGTTCCACAACCTCAAAGTTGTTTCATCTACTATTATAGTTTTGTTCAAACATACCTTGATAACATTCAAAAGTTTTGGTGGTGCTGGTTTTCCTTTTCGAAGACTGAGGGCATGCCTTTCCATGCTAGTCACACCTCTTGAAACAGCAAGTGCAGCGTCTCTTGTATTGGAAACAGAATCAGCGAAATTGTTCTCGGTGACGTCTTCCACTGCAGCAAGCGCCACTTCATTTCTTGTAGCTTGAGCGAACGCTGTAATGGCTGCCATAGTTTGCCCATGAGCTATTTCGTTCTTTTCCCGTTTCAATTGGAGATTAGCTGTTTCTTGGGTGTGCTTCTCCATATCCAAAGCATGCTGTTTTTGGACTTCCATTTTTTTTTCATGATACTCCTTGCGATCGTCGTTCAACTTGGTTTGCAGTTCTTCTTTCTGAATTTTTTGCTCTTGGTATTTCCTTGGTTAAAATCTTGCAAAAATCTTACCTTTCCCTTTAAAGCGGTCACTTTTTCTTCAGCTTTCTGTTCAGTCTCAGCTGTTTCTCTCTTTGTTCTGGTAATCAAATTTTGGTGATCCGTAACTCGGTTTTTGATTTCAGCCTGATTGAAATTTCTTTGCTTGTCCAGTACATCACTTCCTTCCTTGATCACATCCTTCAAATTCTGATCTTGGTTTTTCTGCAGTTGGTCCGCTCTATCCCGATTAGCCTCTTGGATTTTCCTTTGATGGTCCAGGAGCGTCTGAAAGCAATTGCCATGTAACCCATATTTAGTGTGAAACACACTCTCATATTCTCATCTTGCCGCTTATCTTCCGCTTCCATTCGTCTATCCTCTCTCTCCGCCTGTTCTCTTTTTTGCCGTATTATTGCACTCATAAGCTCTTGTTGAGCATTCCTTTCCTGTTGGCGTTGGGCTTCAGCTTGGCGTTCTGCCTCTGCCAACACTCGGGCTTCTTCTTCGCAATCGTCTTTATACTAAAAACTAACAGTTTTGGAATTGATGGTTTCTGAGAAAGAACTTACTCCCATGCTTGGTATAACAACTGGAATATGTAAAGTTTCCAATCTGAAAAGGTAAATGTTGCCTTGTGGGGTTATTCAGCTAAGTAAAAAACCTGGTTTTTAACTGGCAAAAAAGGTAAACGACCTAGTTGTTTACCTTTTTTGCTAGGTTGTTTACCTTTTTTTGCCGGTAAAAAACCAGGTTTTTTACCTAGCTGAATAATCCCATTAATTGTCGATAACAATAAAATGAAAAATTGATCTAGAAACAATATGGGTTACAATACGAAACTCAAGATTTCAAAAAAATTTTTCTAAAAGTTATAATTGTTAATACTCCAATTATTGGAGTCCAATACTTTTATACACAATAAGGGTGAGGAAGACTGAGGAAGAAACATCGTAAACAACTACATATTTCTCACTCTAAAATTTTATTCGTTGGTCTTCTTCACTCATAGATAACACTTGCTTCTACGTATTGGGAAATATTATAAGGAAGGAGTTTCAAAAACGATTACCTGCAAAACTGACATAACTTTGCAAAAGGAACTACCTGGTTGTTTTCACATAAAAAGTTTGCTTATAAGGAATTCTGGAAAGTGGTCTGTATTTATATTATCTCTTGGTCTGAAAGTTTTAGACATATAGGAAAGAATCTTTAAGAAAAAGGAAAAAGAGAAAAGTTCTCTTTTTTGTTGAAAACTTTTAACCACAACTTTCCTAATACCGTTCAATTTTTGGATTCTTAGTTTTTTCAGTTATTTGCAATTTCTGAAAGAATCCTATTTTTCACGTTTTCCATACCAAATAGACAAAAAAAATGGTCTCCTCAGAAATCGGCAGAAATATGAAAAACAAGGAATTTTAAAAAATTCTGTGAATGCAAAGTTTTCAAACTAGCTTTGTTTCAACCCTTCAAAATTTTGGAATTGATCGGTAACTTCGGAAATAAGCTCTAGACTCCTGAAAATGGTCAAGATGGCCAAAAATCAACTGAAAATTATTTTTTTTATCATTTTGACTAGTATATGACCGCTCGGTTTAAAAATAAAAGTTAAATGAAAACAATAGGGATTTAATGCATTTTCAGTGGAAAACAGGTCAGTGGACTCTAAAAATGGGTTACCCATTGCGGTATCAATTTCAAATTTATCATACCTTTTGAGAAATTGTTTTATTTTTTAGCAAATTTTTTTCTATTACGTTACCACAGTGTTGAGGAAGAATACGCCACCACAGTGTTGAGGAAGAATACATATAATTAACAGTTTCAGATAAAAATACAACTTTATTTCCAGATTCCAAAAAAAGTTAATTATCCTCCATATCCGTATCCACCGCCTCCCATTCCTCCACCATTAAATCCGCCACCGTTCTGGAATCCTCCGGACATTTGGCTCTGTTGAAAGGCAGATGATTGAGATCCCCATTGACCACCGCCACCGAAATCACCTGAAATTTTTTAAACAAAAAATTTAGCTTTCTTTATTTTGGTTCTATCTGTTGTGGCTCTACATAGTGGCTGGCACCAATCAGAAGCTACTGGCGACAGAATATAACTGAATCAAAGAAGCATAACTAACCTCCTCCTCCATAACTAGGCCTTCCGTACCCTGGATGGGGCTTAGCATAGACAATTGCCAGGATGGCAAGAATCAAAACAAAGATTTTCATGATTACTGTCAGAACTTCTACCGGTCAGGTCATTTATAGTCTCCGTTGGGAAAAAAACAGGATAATCTTATCACCTTCATTTTTGTGTTCTTCAGACAATAACATGTTGAAATTTTTGTTTGAAATTCAGTAGAGATAATCAGTGATCATAAAATATTTTGATAACCGCTGGATTTTAGGACTGGACAACTTTTTCATATTGGACAATAATTATGTCGTTAAGATAAAAAAAATTCTTCTGATTTGAAAAAGCGATCTGAAAAAAAACAATTTTGATAAACTTTTGTCGCCACTAGACAGAAGTTGATTCACTTTCTGGTTTCTAAAAATGTTCACATTTCGACGACTGACTCATCTCTTCCTACTTCGCCTAATAGTACTTCCAGCTTCTCACACTTCCGACGTATTCCTCTAAATTCAAAAACTGAATCACTTCCGCAATTCGACAAATGACGTTTTGAAGTCAACCAAGAGAACAAAAACATACGATCAATGTCTATCTCTCACTTATCAGTGACCGTCTGCGTCTCCATTTCAACAACACTATTATCTCGCGGAACGTCTTCTCTTGTGACCCATAGTCGGTCACTCTTCAGATGAAGTTACACAGTTTCTGTGATTGAAACCGTTAGATTGATAAGAGGGGTATATAAACAGAAGATGTCTCTCGGAAAATTCATCACCTTTTTCGGTTTTCTGTTTTAATCATCATGAAGGTTCTTGCTATTCTTCTCGCTATCGTCGCTGTCGCCGTCAATGCCTATCCAGGAGGATACGGAAGACCATCTGGAGGATATGGGCCACCATCTGGAGGTTAGTAGACATTTCCAGTACCATACTAAAACTAATATTTTCCAGGATATGGAGCTCCAGGAGGTGGATATCAAAACCAAGGAGGATTCGACGGTGGTGCTCAATTTGGAGACCAAGGTGGATTCCAAGGAGGACCAGGAGGATTCAATCAAGGAGGTTTCAACCAGGGAGGATTCAATCAGGGAGCTGGATTCCAAGGACAATTCGATCAACAAGGAAGATAAATATATCGGGTTCTATGACATGTACATCAGATTTTGATGGATATTATTTTTATAATAAAGTCTTGAAACTGGATATTATGTTCATCATATATTGGAAGCATACATGTCGACGGGCCGATTCCGAACCGGCACAGGCCAGCTGATAACTCGCTTCAAATATTAAATTGTGAGAAAAACATCATATAAAATGATAGAGCTCGGAGAGCACTACAACCTACAATGGGAATCAATTGGCTTCAAAAGCGGTATTTTGGTCCGGTCCGGCATTTTTCAGCCGGCCGAAGATTTTTGCTCCAGTCCGGCTATTTAATGTAGGCCCCGCACCCGGTTATTTACTGAAATGCTGGCCATTTCGATGTTGTAGAGCTTGCCAAGCTCTATTAACTGCTATGTCGTTCTGCGCATAATTTCAATTTTGAAGCAATTTAGCATCCGGCCCGTGCAGGCCCATATTCGGTCCATATATAAGTATGATTGGAAGACGTTTTAGATAAAACACTTAACACTCAACATATACTCTCGAATTGCCCATTTTGTTGAAAAATGTTTCATAGTCAGAAAGTCACAAAATATCAAACATCAAGGTGAAAAAGAGTAAAAGATTTGTGATAACTTGATGTTTCTGTCTTCTTCCCGACCAAAAATTTAAGCGGAATCAACAAAATTTAACCTTTGAATCATGACCTATTTTTTTAAACAACGATTTCATAAAACTTGAATATGAACTACACAAATAACAATTATAAATCATACAAATCAGTTCAGAAAGATCCACATTGAAAACATCGAAAATCCTAACAATGGCCATACGGTTTTTTAGTTCCGCATGAAATTTAATTAAAGAATTGACAATCTTTGTTAACTTTATCAAACGACCGGCATAGTTTAAATGGGTGCCTTTGTAGTAGTTATGAAGGTTGTCAGCAAGCTCATCTCGAACTTTTTCAGAAAGGTCCAGAACATCACCTTGTAGGGATTTGCCTGAAAGAAACCCCTTCTTCTGGTAAATAGAAAATTTTGATACCTGCTATTTGCCAACACAATTCGCTAAGCATGAAAGCCATTTCTGTAGAAGTTGGGGATAGTTCCTGTAGGGGTTTGGCAATTTCAGCGAACATGTTTCTCCATGCATCACAAAAACATTCTGTGAGTTTCTCATCCCTCTCATCGGAAATTTCAGAAAATTTCAGTTGCAGAGAACTTGTTACAATGTGTTGGTCATCTAGAGCAAACTTCTGAAATTCTGAATTCACTATATACTTTAGTTTGCATAATTGTCGACGGGTTGATTCCGGGCCAGCACCAGCCGGCTGATAACTCGGTCCAAAATCGATATTGTGAGAAAAAGATCATACCATACATATAATAGAGCTCGGAGAACTCTACGAGATACAATAAAAATTGGCTGGCTTGGGTCGGCTATTAAATGTGTCTGCGAGCTCTACATCCTACTGTTAGAATTAACCGGCTTCAAATGCAGTATCATGGTCTGGGCCACCATTTTTCTAGGCCGGGCTGATGATTTTTGCGAGCCCGGATCCTAAATTCTGCCCCGCACCCGGTTCCCGTAGAAGTCTGCTTGTCAATTATTATTGGAGGATGTAGAGCTCGCCGAGCTCTATCGTCTGGTAACCTATTTTGCTTCCAATTTCAATTTAGAAGCTAGTTATCATTCGGGTCGTGCCTGACCGAAGTTGGCCCATCGGCAAGCATGCTGGTTTGTAAATCTCCACTTACCGCGTCAGTGATAGCTTCCTCTCCAAAGATCTCTAATGAAATCTGGTATCTTTCGAATTTCCTCCATATATTCCAGACCAACTTAAAAAATTGATACCTTTCATCTTCCGCCAATCTTTGAAAATCAGATGAATAGGAAAGCCACTGTGCAACAACAAACATTTGTTTTTTGAAAAAGTCGAATAGTTTTTTGATTGGTAGCTCTATCAAAAGTTTCATTTCAGTTTCTGGTTTTTGCCTTTTCCTCCATTGTCGTAATGCATACTCAGCTAGCTCCAACTTATTGAAGCCTTGAGTTTCTGTTGGATGCAAAGTCTAAAAGTTCTACTAAGGTAAGCTGAATAAAAGCTAAAAACCGACGTTATTCAGTAGACGACAAATTTCTCGTTTCGTGGAGCTAACATCTATCACTCGTTTTCGTTTTATTGTCTTGCTCCTGACTTTTAGAACAACACTTGGGATTTTATAGGATTTAGATTTAGGTCGGCTTGATTTGAAAGAGTCGCGATGTCTTTGAACATCTGTAAAGAATGAAATCTGATATTATTCGTTGGTTGGAACTTATTCACTTTCAGGCGTCATATTGAGAGATATACATTTCTTAAAACGACATGATTTACAGTGATACCTGTCATCAGGATTTATAGAACAGCTATTGTCATCTCGACGACATAAATATTTGTTTTCTCGGTTATCCACAATTGTTCGCCTGGAAAAGTTGAAAAGTTAACCAAAACAATTAATGCGGCTCACCTGAAAAATGCTGCACAGGCTCTACAGGTCATCACTCCGAAATGAAGTCCATGCGCAGGAGATTTACAAATTTTACAGATATCAGAAAGAGTTTCAGACAATTCCATTTGTATAATCTTTGGCTGAAATTCCATGAAGATATGCAGTACCGGTCAATAAGAATAACGCATTTTTCAGTTGATTTTTGAACTTTATGGCCATTTTCAGAAATCTGGATCTCGACTGTCAAGTTTCTGATCACTTTGAAAATTTCGGAGGGTTTAAAACCGACCTAGACTGAAAACTTTGCATTCACAGAATTTTTTGAAAATTCCTAGTTTTTCAGCTACATACCGATTTCTGAAAGACAGTTTTTAATGGTTTCCAATACAAAAATGGATCAGAAAGGAATGTCTTCCAGAAATCATAAAATACCGTAAACACTCTAATAGAAGGCCACCCGAACCGTAAGCCTTCTATTAGAAGTTTTACGTTTTACTCCCTTTAAAATTTACAAAGTGATCGGAAACTTGACAGCCGAGCTCCAGACTTCTGAAAATGGTCAAAATTGCCGAAAATCAACTGGAAAATGCGTTTTCGAATATATTTTTTACAGGTACTGTAAGCAGAGCCAGTATATAACCAAAGTACAAGATTAAAAAAAAACAATATGTCACTTGTCATTGTGTTTATCTACCTCTTCCTCTCTTGTTATCCTCGTTTCTCTCTATTTGTTCAAAAAATATGATGATCATTGGCTAGAGTGGCTACATATCATAGAATGGTCACAGATGGGCACGATTTGACACATTTTTCGAATTCTTAGATTTTCCCAAAATCGTTTTCCAGGAAACCAAAACATCTAAGAACGGATGACTTAAAATTCAAAATTCAAACTTCAAACATGGAAAAATTAATATCGAAGAAAATAATAAATGAAAAATTTATAAACACATAATTCATTTTTTGGGCATCCATGATAATAAACTTGTTTTTTCGAATAAATTCTATCTTCGCTCTTCTAACTTTCAAATCAAAAATGGTATACTCTAAACTTTTGAAAGACTTTTACTGGGTATTCCAAAAGGGTAGGTAGAAATTCGCAATTATTAATTGCAAGTTGAACTCGAATTTGTTAATAATTGATAATCAATAAATGAAAGCGTTGGTAAAGTTAAGTTCAAAATTTCAGCCGGAAAAACGAAGCAAATAGATGAGTCATCTAGTTTCTAAACCACTATTCTGCTTCGTTTCCTTCCTCTTCCTCCGTCTCGTGCGTTTTTCCTCACTCTCGCACGTTCTCCGTTTTCAGTTTCCTCTTTTTAATGTGTAAGCAAGTCTCCTAGGTGATTTGAACACCTACACACTCACATAGAATCGTATTTTGCTCTGTGTAGGCTTCCAGGGATATAAAAACAACGGAGCTCAGATGAACAACTGAGATTTGGTGTTACGAAATCCTTTTATTTCATTTTGTTTATGTTTTCAACTTTCAAAAAACTTAACTAAATTCAGGAATGCTCCGTCGTGTGCAAGAAGTCCTCTCCAAGAAATTCCCGAGATGGGTATTTGATGAGCGGTCCGGACCACTGGACTGGTCCATTTTGCCAATGGAAATGAAACGAGAAATTGTGAAACACACGGATTTTGAAACCAGGTTACCCAATCACATAGAACTTCATAATGAAAAATATTTCTAGATGTCGACTCCGTCAATGTTCCAAACAAGACCAACAAATAGTGGAATCTCTGAAAGTCGGAATCCCATTTATTCAAATTGAATCGGACAAAAATTTTGCGTCAGTCATGATTTTTGAGAGTAAAACCAAAGTGATCAAAGTTGAAGTGAGCAAAAAACTTGTGTCCAAACTGTCGAAAAAGCCTAAAATAAAAATGTAAGTTATTGATATTTTAAAGATTTTGTAGTTCGTGGATTTCAGAAGCGATAACATTGAAGGAGCGAACCCTAGACAGATTCGTAGCTGCCACGATTTTGATGCAATTGTGGACAGTCTGCTAAGAGCAATTTACCGAGACAATGTCTCTATTGACAGCTTGAACCTGATTTTGAAATATTCAAATGATGTGAGTTTTAATATTTCCTACAATTTTTTTGGTTAACTGATAAATATAAATTTTCAGATTATCACCAATTATCTCGATACACACTATAGAGAACAGTTTGGCCCTCGTCGGAAAACTAAAATCACTTGTAGTGGTGTCGGATTTTTGGTGGCTAATGTATATTTTCTTCCAATTGATGAGACAAGAGTTTTTAATCCATTGGTAACCAATTACGAAGAAGGAAGAATGATGATGGCTGAGAAAACATACAATGTGGCTCCTTCCGGACATCTGGCTCGCTTGGGACCAACAACTTTTTGGAAACCTAGCTTACTGAATTGTAATCTTGGAGCTCTTATCGCGGTGAGATGATTCAAAGAGTTCATCTAAGGCAACGACTATTTTTCAGGGCATAATCTGGAAAATCAATACTGAAATGGAGCGTTTTTTCATTCCAGACCTTGAAGTTCCCGAGTACCAAGAGTACTGTAATCGTTTTGAGGGACGGGTCACAAGGTTGGCGAGAGATTGTAAAATCATTTTTCAAGGTTTTTTTCAGACATGGCAAGTTCACTGCTCTCCACATACCAGTGGGAGATCAGGATAATGAAAAGAAGTTGATAATAAAAATGAGTGCGTGTGGAGTTTTGATTGAGAAGAAAAGATTCGAAGATGTTGCAATTTTTGAAGAGGTTTGTTCATTCAGACGGGTTTAAGTTCAGGCCGATTTTTCTCGGTTCCTGTGAAAGATAACAAAAATTGTTAACTGATAAATTGTTTATCATAATATCAGAAGTGATTTGTCAGTTGATACATTTTTGATATCTCTCACAGGAACCGTGATAAATTAGCTCAAACTTAACAGTTTTGTGGGCTCTTCTATCACGGTAACCATGAAAATGTTTCAGGGGAAATGCATTCTTGGCTGGCTGTGCTCAAAATGTGATAAGTCTGTGGAAAGTTGGTACTTCCGAGAAACACACTTCTCGAACAAGCCAGTTTAAAATTATCTTACTTCTGCATAAAGTTTTTATTCATATAAATTTTTTATCCTTCGAAAAAATCGGGATCCGAAAGTTCCACATTGAAAAAGTCGAACACCTTTGCCAACTGGATAGTGGTTTTTCGTTCCAGTTGAATTCGTTTCACAATATTCACAACACTCATTCAGTTTTTTACAGTCTACCCGCATAGTTTTGATCGACGTNTAATTTGAAGATAGTGGTGATGAAGATTATTGGCTAGCTCTTCTTGTTGAATCTCAGCGATTTCCATTACTTTTCCTTGCAGAGCTTGAGCTAAAACAAATACGTGTTGAGATATAATTAGAAAAAAACTCTTACCTGCCAACTGCCAACATAATTGACTCAACATATAAGCCATTTCCATTGAAGACGGCTCCAGATGACCTAGTAGAACAGCAGTTTGGTCGAATAATTTCCTGACGAAATTCCGGAACGTTCCACCCATAGGCGACATCGGCCAATCAGTTATCTTCGAGATGTCAATGAACAGCTGAGCTGTTACATAATACTTTTCCGAGATTGCGAATTTCTAGAAATTTAGAGCTTGACGATTACAGAGGAAAATGTTTGATCTACCATGTCACATGCTGGCGTGTCTTTCCCAAACATCTGAACGGACATCTCGACTCGCTCGAACCTTCTCCAAACATTCCAAACAACTTTGTACATCCGATACCTTTCCGATGGTTCTAGTTTTTGGAAAAATTGGCAGTGAGCTAACCAATTAGCGATAACCAGCATTTGATGCTCACACATCGTGAACATTTCATGGACTGTCAGTTTTGAGATCATCTGGAATATCAAACATTGTTTTAGAATACAGCACTTCTTAATTCAACTGACCTCCATATCCTCTTCTTTCTTCTGTTTGGCTCTCCATTCTCTCAATGCCAATTCCATTTTTTCCAGGCAGTTTAGGTTTTTCAGCTTTGGATTTTCGCCTATTTTCTTCTTAAAAATGAATTTTAGCACATTATAAAAGTTGAAAAAGCTTACATCGTTTAAAATCTTCTGAATTTTAGTACATAGTATTGTCACATCTACTATCCGTTTGGGCTTAGTCATCAGAATATGAGAAGGTGGATCACAGGGTCTCTAGAAATCGGAGTAAAATTGATACCAGAAAACTGTCTACCTACTTTTAGTGGTATGTGATCCTCTTCGTCTTCACTGCTATCACTACTTCTCTTTTTCCTCGATTCTGGAAATGGGTCCCGATTCCATTGAACATCTGAAAAACAATCAGTTGTGGATTTTGCTATCTATTCTTCGCCCACTGTTAGCTGTCATTCCCATTGTTACACATTTGTTATAGCGACATAATCGGCACTGGTATCTGAAAAGAGATGTTTTGAAAAATCTACATCAGAAAAATATAATACTTACCGGTCACTGGTATTAACAGCACACGAGTTGTGCCCTCCACGACATTTGTATTTCTTGGTTCGAGACATAACTATTGTTCTTCTGAAATTTTTAGATCAACTATAAGTTTCCAATTACAACTGCTCACCTGAAAAATGCAGCACAAGCTCGGCAACTAGGTACACCAAAGTGAACACCATGAGATGTTAGATCGCATACTTTGCAGATGGATCCATTCTCAGATACAGATGTTCCAGGACTCTGCAGACCTGGACTGTCCAAGCCATCGGGCTTAGATTCAGAAGTCAAGCTAGACGTTGACGGTTCAGAAGACATTAATGAAAACTGACTGGATAGTGAAATAAAAGAAAAATGAAGGAGGAGGGCAGAAACCCCAAGCCAAGAAGAAAATAGTCATAAAAGACACGAAACAAGAAAATTTTGTGTAGGAGGTGACAAAAAAAACGGGCACAAATCACATGAAGTGAGTCTGTTGTGTGTGTCTTGTTGACCGAACTAACTGTTCTTCGCCTCTTCGGCAAACCAAAAATCGGGCGCGCAAAAAAAAGTTGATGGGATGGGAACGATAAATTTGTGATATTATGACGAGGAATGAGGAAATAGTGTAGTTTGTAGTCACTGTGACTGAATTGACCTCACTATCAGAAAAAAAAGGTGCTTGCATTTTTTTATCAGCAGAGATCGAAATATTACTGAAT